GCAAGCACAGCAGCCACAGCGCTCTGCCCGTCCTGCCTCGGTGACAGGGCCCTGACCGCCGTAATGTGGGACAAATTAAGGAAGGCCATTGGTGGATTTGAGGGCGGCAGGGAAAGCACCCCCCGACGGCTCTCCCTGACATGGGCTGGAGCTGGGGGTGGCGCAGGGGCTGGGGAAGGGGGTGAGTTCGGACAGACAGCGTGACCCAGGTTTGGCCATCTGTCACAACTGGATCTGCAGGAGGAGGGCCTCTCTGCCTCTCTGGCTTCACCAGAACCCCCCCCCCCCCAAGTGGATCACGAATTATGTCTCTTTCTTGCTCTGCCTCTCGTGGTCTTTCTCACTTGTCGACTTTCTGTTGTTTTCTCTCCCTCTCGGTCACTTCCACACACTTGTCTGTTCACTTGCTCATTCTTGCCCACTCTTTCGCTCTCACTCTCTCTGGTGTGCTGTCTGTCTCAAAGCAGCTGAGGGGGATCGATGGGCGCCCCACTTCTCCTAAGCCCCCCAGCCCTGGCATTGCAGCCTGTCCCACCTATTGCTCCTGCTTCAGAAGCTGCAGCACCCATCACTTTGCGAAGGGAGAAAACCCGGAAGAGCTGGCACTCTTGCGGTGGCCTATAAATAGCCACCTCTTTGACTCAGTTATTGCACGGATGAGAAGGGAAGGGGACATTTGCCCGGGGAGCCTCCCTTTTGGAAGTTCAGACCCACAGCAGTTGTCAAGCCTGAAAAGTGTGTGTGTGTGTGGGGGGGGTGCCTGGTGCGTTGCATGTAACCCCTGGCAGAACTTTGATCACATCGTCATGGCCACCCTCTTGACCTTTTTGGCCACACACTGTGGACACACCTCAGGCTGGAAGAAACAGGGAAGGACTTCATATTCCCCAAAAGAGCAAGTCCAGAGTGGGTTAGCACAGCCGTGCGCTGCCAGGGCTGAAAGGACAGGCAGGACCGAGCCACTTAATTGGGGTAAGCAGGTCACGCACCTGAGCCCTAGATTCTCATCTGCGCACCGCACCCCCTGGCAAAGAGCAGTGCCACACTCTGAACCTCCCCGCCTCTCTACATCCTCCCAAGCCTCTCTCCCTCTTTCCCACCAATGGCTGCCTTCCTCAATGCAGAGATATTTCAGAACAGGAAAACCCAGTTTCAACACAACACCCTGCACGTTTAATACATTATCTGCAGGGAAGGACTCCAGTCTCTGCTTCTGCAAGCCTGAACTGAGGGTCCCCAGCACCGTCTCCTAGGTGGGCCAAGCTAACAACCCAGCAGCCCTATCTAATGAGACTAGGGATTTGAGCATAAATGTCATTATTAAGAACCCTGGAAGCTGTCTGTGGGGTTTGTGCACATGCACACGTATGTGCTCAGACACACATCTTCATTAGCAGACAGTCCCAGGACTCTCTAGACTTCTGTTGGGTTTCAGGCCATCTTAAGCTACCAGCCTGAGGTGAGAACCAGGTTGATCGTGGTCAAGGCACAGGATGGGAATGAGGAAAGCTGAGCTTTCATCCTGCCTAGGCACAAAGTCGGCTGGGTGACTTTGGGCCAGTCACTCATTCTTAGCCCGAGGAAGCACGCAATGGCAAACCACTTCCGAAAAATGTTGCCAAGAAATCTGCAGGGACTGGTCCACGTAGTCGCTAAGAGTCAAAACTGACTTAAAGGCACACACACACACAAAAGTACAGAGGCAATCTTTCTCCTCAAATAAATAACTAGCTAAATAATCTTTTCCCTTAAAGCCGTTTCTGCCAGCCAGTAGGTTCCTCGGTTTCCCTGCCCTGCCAGATATAATTAAAATACCAACCATTTAAGAAAGTGAACTTTATCCTTCTCTCAGAAGGAAACTCTTCAAATAGCAAAATGATCACTTTATTTACTTACTTAGGCTTATGCACCGCTCTAATAAAAAACACCTCGGATCAGGTTGCATTCCTCATTCAAATAACAAAGTTAAAATACAGTTCAATTAATAGTACCAAACCACACAGCAATAAATCACCATCCTTGCTGGCACTGCGTCTGCCCCAATCGCACCATCCCTCTTAACCAATTTCTGGAAGAGCAACCAGCATAGGGCTGGGCAGCCCTCCAAAGCTAGGTAGTGGAGGAATGGGATGGGGGCCTCTTTGGGCTCCAACCCCCAGGGAGGTCTTGGGCCCAGAGCTCTCTTGGTCAGCAGCAAGGGATTTGAGGGGGGGATTTATCCATACCCCACACAGATGGATGGACCTTTTATTACTGCCAGAGTCACAGTAGGAATTTCTGTTGACATCAAGCATCCAAGCTAGATTAGCGACAGGGAGCAGAGAGAGGGGAGGACTGCTTGCATTTCTAATACTGTACTGTAAAAATAAACACAGGGCTGTTCCTTCTAGAGCAGGGAGCTCCCCAGAAGGCAATTCACTATTTCAGAGCAGCTGAAGGCAATCTGTTTGAAACCTTATGCCCTCCTTTGCCCTCCTCCCTGGAAAGGGAAAGGCTGGGCTGACATCAGGAAGGGAGTCTAACTAACCACACTTAACATCACTGTGGAGAAAATGTTATGACACTGTTTTGAGGGAAATCTTCATGGAGAGGAAAATAAAACTCCAGGAACAGCCTTTAGGAAAAGGGAGTTTCAAAATGTAGCTCACTAGGAAAGATGGTAAGAAAAGATTAATTGCGGCTAGCATGATTTAAAAAAAAACAGAATTGATGCAGAAATGATGATGTTGAAATGATGATGTTGCTAAGTTTCTCCTGGTCCTGATTTAAAAGCAGTTCATCAACTCCACCAGCATTTTTTTTCCAGACACTGTGAGGGATGACTAGTATGGGTGCCAGATCAAGGGAACTGGGGCCATCAACTGTGATACTGTTGTAGTCTAACCCTGTTCTGCTGAGAAGATCTTTTAAAGGGCTATAATCCCCATTCCAATCTTACTGGCTATGGATGATGGAAGTTGCAGTCCAATATATCTGGAAGGCTCCAGCTTGATATCACCTGGGGCAATGAAACATTTCTAAGAATCAGAGAGATGGTAATCTGAAGACTTTCTAGGTCCAGGAGGGTCCACGGACAAGCCATCCTAAAGCAATGATGGGCAAGGAAATGCCACCCCCCCCCCCCCCCCAATTCACAGGTTAATAATGAGAGGAACAGGATTTAAGGCCAGAGATGGTTGGCCTGCTCCTCATGGGTCACAAGCACTTCCTCCTTGAAATACCAGCAACCCATGAAGATGAGCCAGACCCGCACAACCATCTCTCCAGTGTCATTCTCAGGTTCTACAAATGTGCAAAACCACTTTATCCATAACCATGCTTTCTCAGCTCCTTGGAATCTCAGGCTGCCCTTCCCCAGAGCAATTTAGATCCTTTCTAAACTGGGGGTGCCACGACTGAACCTAGATGTCTTATGAGCATGGAAGAACACGATCACTGCACTCAGCAATGCCCCCCTTCTGTGGAACTGTTTGGCCCCCATTCCTGGATCATCCCCTCCCTGCAGGACTTCCAAAGAGTTTTGAAGTCACAGCTCATCAAGAAAGCCTTTGGGGGCAAGGCGGAGCCTGTTGCTGGATTGCTAGAATTCTGTTTTTAATGCGGTTGCTTGATGTAAAACCCATCGAGACCCGAGAGCCATTGAGAATTTCACTGCATACATGCTTTAGTAAATCAATTAAATAAATAAATAAGTAAATAAGGGTTTCCTCACAGCCATAATTCATAAATCAAAGAATCATAAAATGTAAGCATTGGAAGGGACTATGAAGATAATCTAGTCCGATTTCTCTGCCCAGTGCAGGAATCCACCACTAAGGTTCTCTATAACACTTGCATTGCAAGCTGTACAATTTGGCTTTAAAACGAGAGATGCAGTAAAGCTATCAGAGAATTCAGTCAGAAGAGAGGCTGTTGTTGTTGTTGTTGTTGTTGTTGTTGTTATTATTATTATTATTAAAACTTTTATGCTGCCTGACTCTCAATGACTCTGGACGGCTAATACAAATGCAAACCTGGTAAGATTAATATTTTTATATTGGACTACTTAAAACTGGTGAGGGATTATGCAGAGTTTTGCATTTCACAGAAACCTACAACAAAAAGCAGTGAAACGTTATTTCAAGGACATGGACAAGACACTGTTACAAAAGACTGGAAAAGATTTGCATTGTTGACATGGACAATGACAGAGCTGGACCTTCTGTATTATTTAAGACACTCTGTTTGCAAAAGATATCCTAAATGTGCAAAAGTTTTCCAGTTGCTCGTATGTAGCAAAGGGTCTCTAGCAACCCCTTTTTCCATCCTATAAGCAGAGGAATTCTGTGAAAATTAAAAACCTGCATATTCCTACACCAATACATTCAAGTTCACTTGTTTCTTTTTTCCATGCTTTCTCAGGCCCTTACAAAAAAAAAGTTTGGGGTGACAGGGGTGAGTGTAGGCTGCCAGCGTAGATATACACTCTGAAAATGGCAAATCAGTGGAAACGCTAACGTTCTTTTTCCAGACCTGTCTTTAGAAAGAAAGAAATGGGAGCCCTGTCCTTTCCTTTCCCCCCCAACTTCAGAATACCCCAAATTCCAAAGAGTGGACCTCAGCAATCTCTACCACCCGCACTAATAGATGGTCCAAGCTGACCCACCTTGCACCACAACCTGGGTGACCTGGGCAGTGTGACGTGAACCCCTCGGTCTCCAAGCAGGTGCCTTCCAAAGAGGAGGCGCTGAGCCCTCGCCCACGGAGGCAGGCTTCGGACCAAAGGACTCTCCCCCTCCTTGATCAAACTGCAGCAGAAAGGAAGCCTGAAACCCACATTTCTTTCCACTGTTTAACCTCCTCTGTTTAACCAGTCCTTGGTTCCCCTCCACAAAGGCTGCTTCAGGCTCCAGAGGAGGCTAAGAAGCAGTGAAATTCTGCTGCCCAGGCAAGAACCCCAACTCGGTTTCACAGGGACCCTTCTCCTCACCACCTCAAGAAAGGACCGCTTTGTCACTTACCCAAGGCAGCTCATCTTTCCTTCTCGTTGCCGTGTCCCCACATCCTTGAATGGGAGGCTCAAATTGGGTACTTTCCCAAGGTCTGCAAAGCGTATGGCACAGAGGGGGCTGGGGAGAGGGACGGGATGCGGCCAGCGAAAGGGCCAAAGGCACAAGTGCTCTCTCTCCACAGCCAAAGGGATGAAGAAAATGTCAGCAAATTGAAACCAGAAAGCTTAATTCTGGCTAAGTGGGTCGAAATCCATTGGAGCTCCCCCAAGGAAAAAGGAGGGGAGGAATGGTAAACAAGCAAACGATAAGATAATGACTAAAGCAGAGGGTAAACTAGCCTAGCCCTGGGAGCGGGGGGGGGGGAGTATGTTTATCCAGCAAAGGGGATTTTCTATGTGCCACATCCAGGGAGTCCCAAGCACGGCGACCAAGAAATGTGTTGCAAGAAAAATATTCATCCTCTCATTCCAGAGGAGAAGGGGACTTGGAGGCCACCGTGCAACAGCCTGCCCAGAAGGACAACAGGGTCCTACCCCCACCCACCCCCAAAAAGCAGCAGTGAGTAACCATCCAGTCAGGCGTCTGCAGAAGCTCCTCGGCTCTCCGAGGGATTTCTGTGCTGCATTGCTGGGTACAGAAAATGCACCAGCCGCCAAGGCTGTGCGCCAAGGGAGACAGAACCTGATTAAACACTCACCCTCCTATGCATGCACACTCTGAGACTGAGACTGACTCCCTCCCTCCCTCCCACCTAGCAGAAGCAGCAGGGAAGTGTCCCAGTTCTTCGGCACAGAAAGCAGGCTTGACAGCCAGGTTGCAAAGCAGCCTCCGAAGCTATCGAAAGGACGGGCAGACAGATGCAGACCCTCAGCCCCCAAAGGGCCAATGCTACATTTCTCTGCAAACCATGCTCAAGTCTTGATCTGTAGAAGGAGGGGAGGATGGGGTATGATGCCAAGGTTGGTTTAAAAGCTTGAAACTGAAAAAATGTTGTTTTGGGTTTTTTAAAAAATAAATAAATCATAACTTGCTGGGATATTTCAACAAAGTTAAAGCTCAGCTTGTGTATCTTCTGAAGCACTTTGCAAGCTGCTTTACAGAAGGCTGGATGTCCTTTTTGAGGTCCTTTTGGCTCCACAAGCCTAGAAGGCAGCTAACACAAGTTCCTGTTGCACAACTCCTGTGACTATCCATGATAATAGGCCATATCTGTCAACTTCTTCTGTAGTGGCTCCCAAACCTCCACTTTAAAGCAGCCATCTTTTCTTGCCAGGTATTGAAGACCCCAAGGCTCATTATCTTGTAGAGGTTAACATCTCCTTCAAGGTTCAGGATTTTGACGCCTCCATAATAGCCCGTAGACTGGTCTCAGGTTATCCAGTTCCAGTTCCTATATGCAGTACTTAGATGGGAGTGCTTGGCTCTGGGGCAGGGCAGGTATCTGTGGGATCCTGCTGTCATTGACAGAACATTATGGAGCCCACTGAGTTAAAGGACTCAGTATCCTCTCCATTTGCAAGGTTTATCCATAAAGACGCATTGATCCAGAGAGTTCAATGAGATTTTTTGTGCAGTCTTGTGTGGTGATACTACATATACCCTGGTCAATTTATAGAAAGCAGAACTGACTCAGGCTTCTTGATATCTTCTCAAAGAGGCTCCATTCTGAGGTGCTGGGTATAATTAAATTTGAAGTAAGACACTTGGGATACATGAAGGAAGGATGAATCAGAATGAATCTGATTCATCACAGGCTAGCTACTACTTATTTTAGGGCCTGCTGCAAAGATGATGACAGCAAAGTAAGCCCACTTGATGTCTGTTCAGTTTGTCCAGCAAAGGTCTTCAAACAGGTAAAAGATCTTTTAGAATCTGGTCAACAAAGTGTAGGCTAAAGTTTTTAGCATTCCCACTTTTATGGAGTATTTAGATCAAATATGGAGGCTGCTTAACTCTGGTTAGTGAAAAACTATGTGTTCACATGACTTACTAGTGCCAAGCAAATAAGCCATGGAGGCTTAAAGGAAAGGCCAGCTTTACTCAACACAGTGAGTTGATGGCTAGATTCCCACAACATGCTGAATCACAACCCCATTCAGCCTTGTCAGGCATGCTTTGTAAACCTGGTCTTTCCATCTGTTAACCTGGAAGATGAGAATATTTAGGAGGTAGATGAAGGGAGTCTGATCCAGCTGGATTTCTGAGATGTGCTCAGTACCATTGAGGATGCTCTTTTTCTGGGCTATGTTATTAATGGTTCCACTCCATTTTTAAGGGGCCAAATCCAGACAATTTGGAGAGATCTGGTTAAGCTATTATTCTCCCTTCAGCTTCCAGCTTATTTCATAGAATCATAGGGTTGGAAGGGACCTTGGAGGTCTTCTAGTCCAACCCCCTGCCCAAGGCAGGAGTCTGATAAATTTCTTTA